ATCAGTAACTTCATCTAAATACTTTATATGTGAGGAGAGTAGACTAGAAAAGTGGCACCCCATCAAGCTTCTCTGCACCTGCAAAAAGCTAGATTTTTCTTAAGTATGCAACTGCATGTTTCATTACAAAGAGAGCATAATTAGTACAGTTCAAATGGATTTAGAACAGTGCAGTGTGTGAAGCATTGAATAAAAATTAAATTATTCTCAGTTTTTGATGGAATTGTTTAAATATGGCACCACTGGTTCTTTTTTTTTGTCTGTTCTGACTGATCAAACCTCTAAACCACAACGAAATATTGTGACGCATATCATATATTGAAGAAATTTTAAATTATCGTGGTGTTATTTTTCCACATTGCCCGTCCCTACTCATATATGTATGCATATAAAGTATTTTACAGTGGCTTTAAACATATCTTAGCATTTAGATCTGGAAGTTCCTCTTTTATAATTGATGTTTTGATGGATTGCATCCTTGATTTTAGGCTTGTCAGTTAACATTTAATCACAGAATAATTATAGCCTGTTATGGGTCAAAAGAATTTGCCAAAATTTATATCCCTATCACTGACTGATTTGTAGACTAGAGTTCCTTGAATAGTAATCAAGAACCCTGGCGCTGTGTCTGTGGTTGTAAACTAAAGCTACAAATTATTCAAGTGTTAATCTATGTAGCAGTTTGTTCTACAACCCTGTTTCCAAAAAAGTTGGGATGCTGTGCAAAATGTAAATACAAACAGAATGCAGTGATGAGCAAATCATTGCAACATATTGAAACAGAGAAATGTTATTGTTTTTTGAAAAATATATGCTCATTTTGAATTTCATGCCAGCAACGTCAGGATAGGGGCAACAGAAGTCTGGTAAAATTGTGTAACGCTTAAAAAAACACCTGGTGGAATATCCCACAGCTAATTAGGTTTATTGGGAACAGGTCAGTAACATAATTGATTTAAAAAGGGCATCCCAGAGAGTCTTTCAGGAGTAAAGATGGGAAGGGGTTTACCACTTTGTGAAAGTCTGTGCAGGCAAAGAATTCAAGAAAAACATAAAACAGCAAAGAACTTGGGGATTTCATCATCTACGATACATAATAATATAAGATTCAGAGAATCCAGAGAAATCTCTGTATATAAGGGACAAGGCTAAAAAACCAATGTTGGATGGCCATGATCTTCGGGCTGTTAGGCACCACTGCATTAAAAACAGACACGATTCTGTAGTGGAAATCACTGCGTGGGCTTAGGAACACTTCTGAAAACCACTGTCTGTGAACACAGTTTGTCGCTGCATCCTCAAATGCAAGTAAAAACTCTACCATCAGACAAATCTAAATTTGAAGTTCTTTATAGATGGCTAAAGAAGAGAGGGACCATCCGGCTTGTTATCTGCACATGGTTCAAAAGCCAGCGTCTGTGACTGTATGGGGGTGCATTTGTGCACATGGCGTGGCTGCCTTGCACATCTGTAGAGGCATGAACAATATATACAGGTTTTGAAGCAACATATGCTGCCATCCAGATGACGTCTTTTTCAGGGAAGGCCTTGCTTAGTTCAGCAAGACAGTGCCAAACCACATCTACATGTATTACAACAGAGTTGCTCTGTATTAAAAGAGCTAAACTGACCTGCCTACAGTCCAGACCTGTCACCCACTGAAAACATTTGGCGCATTTTGAAATGAGAAATAAGACAAAGGATACTTCAAACTGTTGAGCAGCTGAAATCCTATATCAAACAAGAATAGGAAAACATGTCACTTTCAGAACTACAGCAGTCGGTCTCCTCAGTTTACAAATGCTTACAGAGTGCTGTTAAAAGAGGTAATGCAACACAGTGCACCTGTCCCAACTTTTTTGAAATGTGTTGCAGGCATCAAATTCAAAATGGGCATATATTTTTCAAAAATCAATGAAATTTCTCTGTTTCAACGTTTGATATGTTGTCTTTGTACTTTTTTCAAGTAAATATAGGATTTAAATGATTTGCACATCATTGCATACTGTTTTATTTTGTACAGCATACCCATTTTTTTGGAAATGAGGTTGCAATACCTAGATGTCCCTCAGATTGAAAGTGTGATGGGCAGTGTCACATTTGTGTGCTCCGCCCACCACTCCGATTTTGCGTGCTTCACTCACCATTCAGATTTTTTTACAGTTAAACTAGCATCAGAGATGCGGTTAACCCTTTAGGACCTACACTGAGACACTTCTGCCTTTTGCCTACTTTTGTGTTTTGCACTTTGAGTTTGTTTTTTGACAGATCCAGAAATCGTTTTATATATATCTGAAGATTCAGCAAAACCCTTGAATCTAAAATACAAGTTATTTTTGTTTTTTCCCCCCTAAATTTATGCCTGTTTATTTTTTTTTTTAATGGAACATTGCTTATATATGAAAGTTCTGTTGGCAGTTTTTTTGTCCGGTTATAAAAGAGCACTTTGCAAACCCAACTCAAGAAAATTAGTATTTTGTATTTTTTGTTTGTATCATCTGTATTATGATGCCAAAATCGTTTATGTCTTCTGAATAACATGATTCAGGATCTGAAGAGTTGTCTCACTGTCCGTCATTCATTGCTGGAACAACGATTCTCGAGCTTCATTTGTAGCTTCTTAGTCTTATTATTTGTTTTTCTGTTTTTGTTTTCAGGTTCATTTTCTTGCTTTTCTCTTTCCTCTCTTTCAAAGTTGTCCAAAGACAGTCCCACTACGACTTTCATTGAATCAGAAAATCCAGTTGGCTGACGCAATCTAACCAAAGCCAATCTGCGCATCCATTTTTCCGGTGCTGGACGCACCCGCCTCAACTTTGAAATCTCCAAATCACGTACTGCACGTACGTTTTAAACAAAACGGTTCGACAAGCATTGTGGCAAGTGCATGGAAAGGGTACGCGTGTTTTCTGTAAACTTGCGCTATAGGTTTACTTAGGAAGTAAACAACCCACAGTGATAGACTTGGGCTTGTATTTTAGCGCTGTTTCTCTAGTTTCAAGGGGAAAAAACACTACTCTCTCTAGATCACACTGTTGAGGAGCAGGGATGCTTTAAATTTAGCCTAATATTTTGGCGTTTAGTCACCTCTGTTTGGAAAACAGAAAATGTCATACTTTGGGCCACTTCAAACCATGTAAGGAGATTTGGTTTTAAAAACCTGCTGCCAGTAACTAGATGTATGGTTATGTGTGAAAGTATAACATTTGTCCTCATGTAGAAGTGGGTTGGTATTTAAACATATAGAGGTTAGGATATGTTGTGTCAAAACTCAGCTCTCTGTTATGCTGATGTTAGTGTTGGCAGCCAAAGAACTGGAGATATGTAACCTATTCATTCTCTGTCCTCTTCATTGTCTCAGATTTTGGCTCCACAAAACAAAATGGACAATGGTTTGTCAAAATAACAGCAAGATTGACTTTTTATTCTTAAGATTCACTTTACTCAATGTGTATAGAAAAGCCACCCCAGTTGCTGAAAAATGCAAATAATTGTTGAATTTTAGCTCTGCGTCATATATTTCAGACATCACACAATGCTGATAGAAAGGCAGTTTTTAAGGACATCCTGGACTTTATGATTAGCCCATGATAAATTAAAGATCAACACCTCTTATTCTGAGATTGCGTGGTGCTCTGAGATTACCTGTCGAGCCATTTGGACATACAGTGTACATACAAACATAGGCAGTGGGCCTGAGCCGATTGACCGTTGAGAATTGTGAAATGCCGGTAGATTGTCAGTCAGGTTGGACAATTTAAATGATATCAAAGTTCTTTCTTTAAGATGGATGACAATCAAATTTGTCTTATGAACTGTTTTCTCTTAATGTGTGTAGTCCATGTTCTAAATCATCCCTGATATGTGATGTGCTGCTACAGAACATTGTGTAGCAGCGTGAGGCAGCACTATTTTTTCCTTTTCACTCTTGGTCGTGCTTGTTAAACCAGTAAAGCCATGCTGAAGGGTTATTGAAGAAAGTTGCCATGGATATCGAGGATCCTTAATCTGTAGCCTCTCAGTCAGTATTTGCATCTCCTTTTTTCTGTGTGTGCTCAGATGGTGTGCCTGTCACCACCGAACCACCCCCACCTCCCCCAATCAACATCGTCATCAGTCAAAGGCTAGGTGGCATGATCGGATGTTAGTATACTGCTCATGTTCAAGCGTAATAGCCAACACCACCTCTTTCTGTTGCTGAAAGATATGTTCAGTGATCTAATGTTAAATTGACTGTTGTTCTAGAAGTCAAGGTTCCAATAGTAACATAAGTTATCGTGAAATAAATTTTGCATTAAATGACTCAGCATTCTGGTTTCAGGCTATTATTATTAAATTTCTGGTGATATCATTTCTTAAGGTTGAGCAAGCTGTAAGAAAGCCCGACAAGCTACTATTTAGTTCTAGCTCCAATCTGTGGGGTGAAAATGCTTGCGCCTGATACTGACCATCTGACCGCCTGCTTTTCCTGTAAGTGCAGATTGATGATCTCACAGCGTTGTGCACTTATTGATCCACTGGTTCCTTGTGGCAAGGAGATCTGAGTACATGATGGCTTGCATTTATTTCTGTTATATGATACTTATTGCCCGTAAATTTGAGCTCCTTTTTCGTTGTTTCTCCCTTTTCTATGAAAATAGCCCAAATGAAAATGTGTATGGTTCTGTAGGATTGTGCTGTTCTTTGTCAGCTGGGACACAATTCTCATTGTTCCAGCATGTTTTTTTTCTGTCTGAATTCTTAGTCTTTCTGTATCTTTGTCCCTTGCTGTATTTTGTTGTGTTGTGCACATCTCTCTCTCTCTCTCTCCCTCTCTCTCCCTCTCTCTCCCTCTCTCCCCCCTTCTCTTTCCTGCTCTCTCTCTCCTGCCCTCTATTTCTTTCTCTGGCTGTGATCACGTTTCAGGAAACAACAGCCCCCTCTCCCCTCCCCCTTTTCCTCCTCCCCCTCTCTCTGTCCCAGCTGCCAAACCACATACACAAACCTCCGCTTGCCTCTGCTGCATCTGCACCCAGTGTTTAGAGGACTGGACTGTTTGAGAGAGACAGAATGAGGGAGTTGTTCAGAAGACCTTAGGAGCAGCATCACATTTGTCCTAAGAGCTGATGCATGATCTTTTAACCAGTACATGGCATTCATTTTCCTGATTTTCTGTGGTCTTCATGTGGACTTGGAGGGAAAGTACTGGATGTGTTCTTCAATAATGCCTGAAACAGGAATAACCGTATCTCACTGAACTGCTGCATGATGTTGAGCTCTTTGGACAGATCATCTTTTGGCTCTTCTCATTTGGATCTCACTAGCCAAGATGTCACTCTTCCTCTGCTGAGGAGACCAGACCCTGGATCATACTGACTGCTGACAGCCAAACAAGAGCTCTGTGGTATTTGCGCATTTGCGTCTTTCCCGAGCTCTGGAATGTCTAGCTGCTCCGGGTGCAGTTTCTCAAAGCTGATGAAAGCTGGAGCTGAGAGCTTTTACTACGTTGGAGTAGAGGAAGCCATTGGCCCCATCCAGTCAAGCCACAGCCTCTCTCTGTTAGTCTACTGCTGATAAGCTAGAGTTTCACAGCCTGTTTCTTTTCAGTCCAGTAATGCTGCTTCACTGAAGCTGTCCTTTTAAGTCTGTTTTTTATTTTCAGTTCAGGAGTATTTTAGTCTGGTTGTGACTCCTATCCATGCCTGTAGTTACTCTTCAGGTCAAGGGGTAAGTCATTGCACTCTTTGCTTAATAGCTGATCAAAAGCCAGATAACAGAATGACTTGATCTTGAAAGTTCAGTGTGACAGTGTGTTGGAAGAGAAAGTGACAGACTTCTCTGTTCCATTAGGGGTGAATGTGAGGCTGTTGAGGCTGTTTTAACATCATAATAAGGTTGAAAAGCTGGAAATTAAAAGAAAAAACAGGGATTCATTTTTGGTGTCAAAAAATGGCCGTTAAAGATGGCAACTAAGAGTGAAGACCCTCTGACACACAGACCGAGCCAGTGGAATGCTGGGGCTGAGTGTTTATTGCTGTTGGAGGGGCGAGAATACAATTCAGAGACCATCTGTTGATTTTACAGAGAGAAGTGCTTCAGTAGCTCACACAGTGACTTGCTGTGTTATTAGTGTATTATGTATGTGTTATAAACAGTAGGTGCATGTTGACAGATGCGCATTACTGATGTATTATAAGCCATGGATATGCAGTATTTATATGAGTATATGTGTCACATGTGGTCAATGGTTCCAAATCGTTTGCCATTGTAGCCCTCTCAAACTCATTTATATGGATTCTTGTGACACTGGAGGCTTTTTAGGGGAACTGGAGTTTTCCACTTTGCTACTGGTTTTGTTATTTTGCAGACTGTTGGTTTAACTGTAGGTCTCTTGCAAACACTATCCAGTGAAGTCTGTGGAATCACTGAAATTGCAGGCATCAGCAGTGTGTTTTGCTTGTAAATAATGCTTCAGACACGATGCTTTGGTGGTAAGCAAATTAGTTATGGAAGTAGCTTGAAATAACTTTTTTTCAAAAGAGCAATCAGTGGAACATTCCATTTAAAAAGCTGTCTTTGAGCAAGAGGGCTACAGACACAGAGTCATAGCAGCAACGCACAAGCAGCTAGGCTTCACCCTGCACGATTACTGATAATTAGAAGGATCAAACGGGGAAAATACATTAATGGCGGTAAAATAATAGGAGGCATTAATCATTTAACTCAAAGATGTTGTCACATATACTTGGATCATATTGAAATCATCTGTATGTATATATATGTATGTGTGTGTGTCGTGGGCATGCGTGTGACATTTGCATGTGTTGGCGGCAGATTTGAATGAGTTGGAGGGGATCTCACTAAAGTCTCTGAATATGTTACTGATGACAAATTAGGTAATTTGGGGATAACTATTTCTCTATTAAAAAAAAAAAATGATTTTGACACACTTAGCTTTCTTATGCTGAGTCATCCATGATGGCAATTATGAAGAACAATTCTCTAATAGTGGAAATAGTGGAAATTTTTTTGTGTGGCTCAAAGTAGTTTCCAAGCGGGCATTATCATGATCAGGAACATGACCTCAGCGTGGGCTAACTATAAATAAACTTTCAAAATGAGTGGCACTTGTGGTATGTGACAAAAAAGTTAGAATGTTTAGCTGCTCAGTTATTTGTTTTCAGCTAGATTATCTGATTAACTTTTAGAAGTTTCCTTGGTTTCCTTCTTATTGATTTTCGTTGCTGTTCCTCATTCCTCACAAGATGAAACTTGATGCAGAAAACTTTACGAAAATTTTTTTACAGCAGCAGGGCTTCTACATTACTTAAATTATAGCTGTTTGTTTGTATTTTAGTTGTTGTTTCGCAGCTGCCTTTTATTTGCTGATCAGTGTGCTGTTATGTGTTAACATGTGTCTAGCAGATATTAGCATTATAACTATGGACAATATGCTACTTCGAAGTGAAAATGTGTACGTTAAACAGTGAAATGAAATGCACATTTGGTGCACGTTTATAATTGCATGACCAAAAATCACCTTCAAAGCTCTTGTGTATCATTGCTTATTCATACACTTTAATTTTTTTTTACATTTAATTTCAACAAATATTTTTCAAATACATTGTTAAAATTTCCATCTGTAGTTATATAACTTTGCTAGTTGTACTAGCATTTTTTTTTGTAGAGTGTAGTCTGAGAGTGTTATTTGCTTGCTCCGCTCACGTTCGTTTCTCTTTTTAGTGCACTGATTCTCCACCCTGAACAGCCGATCAGAGAACTCTCATCAGTCGATGTTTGGCCACAGGTGCTCAGTGATGGCCTGACTGCGTTTGACAGCTGACAGTTAGCTTGGTGTGTCAGGGCTGTAGGTCTGCCTGAAAGTGGCTGTGGGACAGTGATTACAACTGTTTAATGCTGGCTTAGGACTGACTGTGAAATGAATATATCTTGATGATTTTATACCATTTTAGCTTCTAGGTGTAGCTTCTTGTTTCCCCACTAAGCTTGTATCCTTATAAAGCCTGTTTATGTTCTGTCATCAGTGGCTTTGATCCTTGTTTCAACAGCAGACTCCAACACACAAAGAATCGGTAGCACTTTTACACACTCTTGATTGTGTGACCTCATTTGTAACTAAACAACCAACAAAAACACCCGGCCTCCACCCTTCCTGGCCAGCTGACGTGTGTTTGTTGGCTAAAGCTCTTTTAAAAAGTGTTCTGAGCCTCAGTTTATGAGCCTTCATGTGTGGTCATTGTCACCATTCATGGGCTCTGGGGTATTGTTTGTCTTCTGCAGGGTTGGTCTAGTGTGTTCATGTATGTGTCTCATTGAAGTTCCAGTGCGTTATTAACTGAAGAGATACTGATTGCTTACTTAAAGTACTTTATGAAGTAAAGAGTTGCTGATTGGCTGGTTCAAGAGCAGGTTGAGATGTCCATGCCTGTCAGGGCTCGAGTTGGCATTCCCCTACAGCAGCATAATTTGACTTTTGACCTGGGATGAATAATTACCTCCAGTTGCTCAAAAAAGCACTTCCAGCCTTCCACTGAAGCTTTCAGTTTGGTCTCTCAATTTTCAATTCTCAATTTTTTCTCAATTTAGGTAGGCTGTGTTAAAAATAGCCTACTACAAACTGCTCGCTTACTGTTTGTGTCCAAAAGTAGTAAATAGTATGCAGTATATGACCAACATGAATTTCCCCAATACGCGAAAAATACCCAGATGACATTCCAATCTGACCAAATATTCCAGTACGCGGCCAAAGCTATACCTCTTTGATGTACTGCATCCCAAAATGCAATGTGGCTGGGTCAGGAGGACGTAACCACTGATGCGCCTTGATATTTTTAATAGCCCTGGATTCAGCTGTTCTCTACATTAATAACAGCAAAATGAAAGAAATTTGTCTAAATGCTGCTGCACTCCTTTCAAAGCTGAAGCCATGGCGGCTTTTCTCTGCTCTGCTGGTCTTGAGGTGGGTTTGCTGATTTCATCTATTTAATAAAGTTAACATACTGCATAGATAACATGGTTCAAACAGTAACTTACTAGTTAAAGTTGTTCTCAGCTGAACAGTCCACTCAGCATTGGCTCTAGCCTGATGCAGTATGGCGTATAAAGTACACAGTATGCTATTACGAACACAGTCTTGGACAGTGTTCTAAGGTAGTGGGAGCTTTTTCAAGGGCCACCAGGAATTTTGAGGTATAATGGTGTGTGGATTTATGAAAGCAAAAGGGTCTTTTTGCTGGGACAAAATGAGTTGGAGGACTTTCTGTCCTTGCAGATTTCTTGGTAGGGTTTGGCTCCGGATACAACCATGTACACCTGAAAAACCCATTTAGCTTTTCAGTGTCCTCATATAAGTCAGGAAAATGCACCCAGAAAACCTACCTGCCTCCCTTAGGCCCTAAACTAAGCTGACATGGAAGAATTATCCGCAACCAAAACAGACAGATGATCACCTTCTGTCAGCTCATCATCACAGGTCTTCTGTGGAAAAAAAAATTGCACTTGAACACCCCACAGTGACTGCAGCTGACATATACTTTTTGCTGCTGTGTGAAAGGATACAACTCTCCATAGCAGGACATGGCAGTTAAATAAAGTCTTTTTTTAACAAAAACAACACGGGAAGACCCACATAGGTCTTGGCTGGCCAGCTTGGCAGATTACAAGCCAACATTCTTCCAGACGGTTGACAGTCGGCTTGGTGTGTTAGGGTCATAATTGGAACATGCTGAAGGAGAGTTGAGAGATGAGTGGCCTAGTCATGATCCAGTCATTTATTATATTGGTGAATCTGCATGTTTAAGGCTTTTACTTATACTTACTTTTTTATATATATATATATATAAAAGACCGTTATATATATATATATATATATATAGACCGTTTACAGTAAAATGCATACACGTCATTAGTAGAGCTGAAAGATTTAATTGGTTTTCCATCATAATCGCTGTTTGAAAGAATGCAATTTTAAAATCTTAAGAGCTGCAAATCTAATTATAGTTTAAGTACAGTTATAGTTTTTAGTGGGGAAATAATCTAATAACACAGTCTTTGTGAACTGCCTGTAAATGAGTTAGACCAATTAAAAGTAACAGGACACCCACATAATGCATACATGAACACATCCACAACTAATGGGCTGCCTGGTGCCCTATGTTCAGCCTTCAAGCCTCTAACTAGGAAAATTAATATGCTTGTCTTCTTGACCAAAAGCATGACTGGATCTCAATTAGAAAGATAGAAAATAATCGCATTTTGGATCACAACCAGTGTTGATCTAAAAATCACAATTAGATATTTTCCCCAAATTGTTAGGCTCTAGCCGTTAGTCTTCTATTGCTGTGTCTTGGCCTACATCATATTATTAGACATGGGCTTAAGCATATAATTATATCGAGAACACCAATATGTTTCTTCTTTCTTTGAAGCCTTTCAGGAATTTTGAAACTATTGACCGTGTAGCATAACTCCACTGCTCCCATACACTGCATACTTCAGCTCATAATTTCCTGTCAGTCATCATTATTGGTCAAGAGAGCAGATGTCTGCAAGGTAGAGAAATGCTGCCAGACACCTCAGTGCCTTAGACAAGCTGTGAGAGAACTTCTGAATATTGTGAAGAGGCTTGACGTGCTATATGGACTAGACTTCAGTTGCTTCGTGACAGTGAGAATACATGACTTGCTGGCTTGTCATTAAAAAAGGACAGAGTGACCCCTGTGTGTCCACTCTTGCTCCCTTTTGGGAATGTGACCAGGACTGCCTCAGCTTGTCTGACTGTGGGACTTGTTCTGAGCTGTAGGATGCTCCTCTGGGATACTGAAGCTTATAAGCTGTCTTGTGACAGGTGTGCCACTCCGGAAGCAAGAAGCATGTTTTAATTTAGGAAATATGCTAAGGGAACTGGTCTGTCAGTGTTAGCAAAACACAAACATAAACACAGAGTGGCTTTAGATAGAAACAGTGAGTGAGAAAGAGCCTTTAGGTAGTTGTAATGCTGCTGACTACATAAATGCTTATACCTTTTTTTATTTCTGCCATCTATGACTAATCATTCTCTTCTCTGTTATCCTTTTTATCTCTCCTTTTTCATTGCCTCTCAAATAAGTCAGTTGGTTTGACACTGGCACTGACATTATTGTCAAAAAACATGGAATAATAAAGATAACAGTAACAATAAGCAATTATGTTAACTACAATGCAGATATGCAATGTAGTTAACATTAGCAGTGCTTACACAAGCTTAACGCTTAACTTTTCTACTGTGATTATAGTATTTGAAGCACAGGAAGGCCCTTGTGCTCCAGCAGGCACAAAGACAATAGAGAGGCAGGGTGGATTTGTCTGTGTCTGTCTGGTTTCTTTATACCTGGGGGAGCTGGGCCAGAGCCAGTCAGTAGAAGAAGCACTTAAACCAGGAGTATGCAAATAGAAACATAAGAAAAACTATGAGAAACATAAGAAAAATTAGAAGTGAAAGGAATGAAAGAGAAAAAAAATACTAGAATAGACAGAGCAGGATTGCTTTGCTTAGTACCTTCAGCTCAGTGCTATCCTGGTCAATGGAGAGCTCATTTCAAATCTATTGTAGTTCAGTGCCACTGTATCTGTACACAAAACATACTAGAGTATTTGAAATTAGATTTTAGACCTGCTAGTTTTTCCCTTTGATCTAGAATACACTATCTGGCCATATGTATATATGGTGTGTAGACACTTGACCATCACACCTATATGAGCTTGTTGCCCATCCCCCACCACACACACACACCCTGGCTGAAACACCTGAACACAATTATTAGGTGGAGTACTTTTGGCCATATAGTATATGTCTGGTCTAACATCGTGTTTCTGAGGTCAGTTTTCAACTGTCACGCTGCAGATAGGAGCTGACTGCTAAGTCAAAGTTGCCGCAAGAGCCGTCAAGAGTATATCTCAACTGCAGTTTTATCAATGTTTAATTTACTTAGAAAGCCGGTCTGAGTTTGCGTGCGCTGCATGAGAAACAGCCGGTGCTGTATCTGTGTCTGCCGTATCTGTGACTTCTGCTGCAGCGTGTGAATGGAATGGAATGTGGACTCTGCTACAAGCATGCATACAAACTCATATTAAGATGAGTTCCACTGTAATTGGCAACAAGGTCTTTTGGTTATTGTACACAGATGATCTCATGATCACATACTGTAGTAATGGTTCTTTTCTCTCTCCAAGTTCCATGTTAAGGTCTCAGGATACTGTATAATTTGCGCTCTGTGTCAATAATGACAGTGTATTGGGTAATTATTGTGTTTGTACAAATGTAACTTTTTATAAGGATAAGGTCAGCCCTGCTGTTGTGCTTTATGCACTCATCTTCAGTTTGTGAATGGTGGTCCTTTGGCTTAACACTAACAGGAAGTATCTAAATTAAAGTATTGTGCAGCTAAAAGAGGCTTCAGTGCAGAAGATGGCAGCTGGTGAACTTGGCACTTGAATGGTTAGATCCAGGGTGCATGTCTGCTTTGCTAGCGCTAGAGAGCACAGCCCACAGGCCTCAACTTGTGGTGCATGTGTCTTGTCTGTTTTGGTTTGTCTCCACCTCTCCCTGTGCAGCTCTTCCCCAAGTACAAGTTGCTCCTAATTAGTAGTTCATCATATCAGACTGTTTGTTTGGAATGACAGACAGGGTGGTTTGTGATGTCACGGGATGCATGAGCTGAGGGCACTGTGGTTTGGGTGGCTGGTCTGACTTGTGTCCGCTTTCATGTGTATTTATGGTAATTTACAGGCTCTTATTTTAGATACACTCTAACATTTTTTCTCTCTCTCTCCCTTGCTCTCTTTCGCTCTCGCTCACTCTCTGTCTCTGTCTCTGTCTCTCTCTCTGTCTCTCTCTCTCTCTTTTTCCCCTCCCCCCACCTCTTTCTCGCTCTCTTGGTCTCTCGCTTTTTGCAGCTGGAATGTCTTGAGTCCACCCCCTGAGCTGTGTGACGGAGGTGCAGCCAGTGCTGATGGGAGCTGCTGCTCCATCATGAGTTGCCATGACGCTGGAGGGCGTCGCCGTTTTGAGGACTCTGAGTTCACCCTGCGTGTGTACCCGGGCGCCTTGTCCGAGGGCACCATCTACTGCCCGGTCACCGCCCGCAAGGTCACCTCTGCAGCCGAGGTCATAGAGCAGGTGATCGAACGCTTGCGGCTGGACCGCGCCCGGCTCTACGTCCTTGCAGAGGTGAAGGAGTTTGGCGGGGAAGAATGGATCCTGAACCCGGGCGACTGTCCCGTGCAGCGCATGATGCTGTGGCCCCGCATGGCCTTGGAGAACCGTCTTGGCAGCGAGGATTACCGCTTTCTTTTACGCGAGAAGAACCTGGATGGCTCCATCCACTACGGCAGCCTGCAGATGTGGCTGCGGGTGACGGAAGAGAGGAGGCGGCTTGTGGAACGTGGACTCCTCCCACAGCCCCCTGCTGGGCAGTACGCTGCAGACCTTTGTGCCCTGCCGGACTTGAACGAACGAACATTACTCGAAAACCTCCGCGGACGTTTCAGGCAGGAGAAGATCTACACCTATGTGGGTGGGATTCTAATAGTTGTCAATCCCTTCAAGTTCCTGCCCATCTATAATCCGAAGTATGTCAAAATGTATGACAACCACCAGCTGGGGAAGCTGGAGCCACATATTTATGCTGTGGCAGATGTGGCATACCACGCCATGCTGCAGAGGAGGAGGAATCAGTGCATCGTGATATCTGGAGAGAGCGGGTCAGGGAAGACCCAAAGCACCAATTTCCTGATCCATCACCTTACTGCACTCAGCCAGAAAGGCTTCGCCAGTGGAGTGGAGCAGATCATACTTGGGGCTGGGCCAGTCCTAGAGGTAAGACCGAATGGATGAATAAATACTTGGATGGATGGTTGAATGGCTCAGTCATCCTTCTGGTGAGATTAACAAAGCAATTAATTGGGTGAAGTACTGTTTGATTACGGACTAGGTGTATCCTTGGCAGCCATTAATAAGTAACCTATATCGGGCAGGTAGCATTGGGACTATGTTTTTCGCTAGTAGTTATTTAGCATGTCACGTGGTGAAATCAGCGTTTGAAATTTGAGATGGTTTATCAGTATCGATGGGTACTGGTGTCGGGCCAATCTCAGCAGAAAATGCTTTATCAGGGAAAAGGAATGAATCCAAACCAGTCCTGTAACAAATCTGTCCTATAATAGTTTACAGTCACATTGTGTCATGTGATGTTGTTAGCTAGGCATTTCTTCCTGTGGGGTAGTTGAGTGTTTGAGCAGTTTCAGCATGGTAACCTACATTTAGATGTTGAAGTGAAGTGGTTCAAATAAAAATAGCTCATTTGAAAGCTTAGTATTGGGCTGTCACAATCATAGAATTTTAGCTGATTGTCATAAATAACTGCAGTCAGCGATTTGTGTTTTCTGTCCATTGCATGCAGCTATTAAAGTACAAGCCTAAAGTGGCCGTATTATCTCATTAGACATCTGGTGTCCTAGGCATGTCTACTAGGTAGTCTAAGTAACACTAGGAAAATGATATACTGCACTGTTATGAGTATGCATGCACTCAAACAAAAGTCTGGCCACACAGAATCATGTGTATTCAAGCAAAGCTAGAGTTTTTCTTGAGAGTTAAAGTATAAGACAAAAACCCTGCTCTAAAACCCCCACACTATGCTAGCATACATGATAAAAACATTAGCTCTAACTTTGTAGTTATCAAATAAACAAAAATTACTCTGTGCTGCCCTTTAAATATTTTACAGCACTAAATTAGATGGTGAAGCATTCTTTTGCATTCATAAGCCCTATATGTCTAAGTTAATGCATTAACAGCTTTCTTTTTATTTATTTATTTATTTTACATTTACTTGCCCATTTAACATTTTGCTTGTTGCAGCATAATATAGTTGTATCTTCAGTGACTATGGAAAAAGTTTGCAGTCAGCATAAACAATTGTGATAATCTCCAGTAATTGCAGTCAACTCAAATAATTGTGATTAGGCAGTGATGTAATAATTGTGACAGGTTAGTCACAATTCTTAGTAGATATTAAAGAAAAAATCCTGATAGGTGTCAGTACTCAAGGTTTCAGTACCAGTATAGGAAATAAATAAGTGCTGTCTCTGAAATTCAGCTCAATTTGACTGATCAGTCAAGCTTTGTTCAGTTTTCACTCCTCATCTAGTCCCTAAATCTCCTCCAAGTATTTTTGGATTTGCTGTTGGCTTTACAGATCAGAGCAGAGAGTCAAGCCCTGAGTCATGATAAGGGAGATTTATCAGCTTTGTTGTGATTATAGTGCTTTGTCATACTACTAAGTGACACTTGAGCATGATTTGGCCATATAAGCACATATGCTTAGCCCCGGATACACTGCTCAGTCTGCTCAGTCACAGCTGTCTCAGTGGAAGTTAATGACAGCCTTTGGGCCAATGGAAACATCCTCAGATCCAGCTGCTCTGAAACTGCAGACAGCTACAACTCACTGTTTTTGGGGGAAGGGAAACACCCAGATTTATAACAGGCTGAATTCGCAGCATGGTTCAGCCAGGATCTGTGACAGACGGTCTCCATTTTTGCATGACGTGATTGCCTGTTTGCTCAGGCTCCATGCCTGCCTCATTGGCTGAGAATTTCTGTTGCTAGTATGAAGGGTTCTCACTCGTGTGTGACAGTGTCATACTGTTACAAGCCTTGTTAAGTTACGCTTATGCTCTGTTGTAGATATACCAGGCTGACATTTAAGTAAATGTTAACAGAATCACATTGAACTCAAATATCACTTTGAAGTTTATTTAAAAAAAACTGTGGCTACTAAGTAAGTTTTTCCCCAGTTTCATACAAGTGGTGCACCAATTAAAGCATAGAACTAAAAAGATTGCTCTCCTTACATCTATAAAAGCCATATACAGTGCACAACTCATTTATTTTTGTGTGTGATGTCAGTCCGTAAGCTCCTAAGCCCTCTTGTGCAAGTGTCTGTCTGTGTGTGTTTGCACGCATGTGTATGTAGATAGTAGCGGATGGTTTAACAAATACCAGACAGGCGCAGTAATTAGAGCTTGAGGTTTGCCACTAGCGGGAGGTATTCAGTGGGCCGGCTGGCCAGTGGTGACAGATCCAGACCTGTAACATAGAGCAGCCGTGCTGTTCCCACAGACCTGAACAGATGAGGCCGGGCAGCATGGAGAACAAGAGCTGCTGTAGAGGAATTCCACGCAAGCTTGGAGTCACAGAGGAGTCCATCAGATGAAGGAGGGTTGTGTGTACAGATGCAGCAGCAAGCCAACTCGAGGGACACAGATAGTGAAGATACAGTGATACTGTAAATGCTGTAATATATGAACACAGTGTACTCAGTACTGGGCCAAAAAAAAGAGAAAGAAAGCTGTTTGTTTACATTTGTTCCCTGAGGAGAACAGTAATATCTGAAACAGTAATATAATTTATATGAGGTACTTCTTTGCATTGGCCTTAAAGGGTAAAGTTGTAGCAATGCTAAACTAGTGACTCGCTGGAAATGAGAATCCAGCACTTCTTTGCGCTGTTTTGGTTAAAATGGGTACGTGGTTATGTGTGTGCAGTTCATTCATAGCCACACCTCCACTAAAGTGAGACAGTGCTAGAACAGGAGATAAAAGGATAATACATTGTGCTGTCTGAAATAAAACAGTTCATTATCTTTACACCACAAAATATTTTTTGTTTTGTTTGTTTAGTGGACTTGACAGTTGATCAAGACTTTGCTTCAAAGATTTTAGTGTGCGTGTGTGTTAGGGGAGTATCTGTGGAGGATGGAAAGGAGAATCATAACAACTATTATTCCTCTGCCTGAAAACCAAACATTGTTATCTGAATGAAAACAGAACACTCCCTGAGTCCAACTGTGTGGCACAGAAGTCATTTTAAACTGAGAGTGAATCAAGAAGTGCAATACACTAATCTGTGCAGGAAACCCTTTACTAGGTGCACTAAAAGTGATATCCTATCATAAAGTGCTATTAATAGATAAAATATTGGCCTCCTTCCCTACCTGCACACATTCAAACATGTATGTGTATGTGTATGTGCACACACACACACACACACACACACACACACACACACACACACACACACACACACACTTAGAGCATTTGATGTTGCCCTGACCTGACTCTTACGCTTCTCAGTGGAGATTTAAATCCGCTGACATTTCACTCCTGAGAGAACAATGTGCCTGTGGTCGTTCGAGTTGACACCCTGATGTTTTTGGACTCTCACTCTCTATCTCTCTCTCTCTCTCTCTCTCTCTCTCTCTCTCTCTCTCTCTCTCTCTCTCTCTCTCTCTCTCTCTCTCTCACTCTCACCAGAGCGGAGCACTTGAGATTACTGTCATCATATTTATAATGACCAATGCCATCCAGGTCTTATTAGTCATCTCTGTGTCTCTGTACATCTTATTTTATTTCTTTCAGTCTCTCTTTCCTTTTGTCTTCCTCTTTGTCTTTCTCTCTTACCCTTTTCCTCTGTCCTTCTCTATTCTCTCTGGCTGTCACTTTCCATTTTTCTGTGATTCTTTCTGTGAAGTTATTCCTTCTCTCATACACATGCTGCTTTTAAAATTCATATAGGAACACTGTGTCCTTCTGCTACCATCAACATTACATCATCCATGCTGCATCATCTAACTGGCAATTTAGGCTTGATTTAATTCCAGTAATCATTAGTTTCTATAAAAGTCCTCTAATACAGGCCTTGGTGGCAGTAATAACTCTAATGTGTAATCTGATCTCAGCTTAGCTGCTGGACCAGTCAAATATCTCTTTCTGTGGGGGGTATTTTAGAGCTGAGTGGAATACTCTATTAGGTGCCTTAAAGGAATTGTACAGGAGTTTTGTTTCATTTTATTTTTTTAATCAGAGACTGCTGTCTTTGCCAGATGAGTCATTTAAAACTAATGCCCCTTTTATCGTCCATTGTTTGGTGGTTTTATAACTAGATGTATATTCATATATAAGTGGGAGCCCTCTGCAGTGCTGTGATTTGTTTATTGGTGTACGCTTTTTTTGTCTGGACAGGTGTCATATTAAGTCTTTCTTTGTGACTTCAGAATTTATCAGCAGTGATGTGGCGCTTCATGAACAGAAGCATGGCTTGGCAGACCTGGCCTTCTCTCCATGTCTCCGTGCTTGGTGAATGTGAGTCAGTATGACTCAGCTGGTTGAAGGTGGATGCAGAGCTCTGTGGTCTGAAATGTGGGCCAGTGCTCTCCAGGCTGTAACCTCAAGCCAAGAGCAAAGGAAGAAAAGAAGGTTTTAGAAGGCTCGGTATATGAGGAGATTGATTGATTAGATTCCAGTGAAGCTTCCACTGGCTTTATGCAGAGACCTAAAGCAGGGCTGGGCGAATTCTCAGTATCTTTCAGCCTTTCCTGACAAATGCATATGGCAGTACTAATGAATATTCTCCGAAATGGCTTGAAAAAGTGAGATACAGGAAAAAATAGTTTAGAAATAATCATGGTCTGTTTTTCACTAATTGAACACATGGAAGAGTGAAAGAATCAGTACTAAATCATTAACTTTTTTTGTCTCTCAGTAAAGTTACGTTTTTATAGTACACGCTTATCTCAAGCTACTTAGTACAGTTGACAAACATACCATTATTCCTGTCTGAACAAAGAACTGAACCTTGATCTTCTGTTTGCAAAGTGTTTTGGTTTTATCCACTATAATGTTGGATGGTTTTAAATGCGTTTTTGTCTAAGGTTTCCATTTTGCTAATAAGGCTTAACACGCTCACACTTGTGAGGAGGGGTTGTGTGATTGCCACAGTCTTCAAAAAAACTCAGCTAAGTATAAAAATCACCA